CTGCATGGTGGCACATGCTTGTAGTCCCTGCTGCTGGGGAGGCTGAGGAAGGAGGATCATTGCTTGAGCCTGGGAGTTTGAGGCTGCAGTGAGCTATGATCGTGCTACTGTGCTCCAACCTGGGTGACAAAGCAAGACCCTGTCTCTAAAAGGAAAACAAATTCTGGCTCTTTCCAATCACTTCTCCTAGATCTATGGGCTTGGTTAACACATGGTCGGCCTCCCAAAGTGTTATAAAAATGGTTTTACCGAATGCTTTGCCAAGGGAAAACAAGGGTCTCCAACTTGCCAGCCTGCAATATGTGTACCCTCCCTGCATGCAGCAAAACCACTGTCAATGCCCTGTATTTTAGGGGTTTTGTCAGGACAGCACCCCACTGCCAGGACTGTACTAATTTCTGTTTATTTATGGTAAGGGAAGTCTGTTATAATAAAGACCCCCCAATAGTGGCTGAGAGAAGACAGAGGTGAGAGCTCTCGCGTGTCCATGGTGATCATTCCTGACTGACAGGCTGTTCGGTTCCACAAGGTCATTCAGGGGTCTGAGGTCCTTCCATCTTGTTTGTCTGACATCCCCTCATTGGGCTCGTCAGCTTGGTCACTGCTAGGTTGCAGGCACAACCGTGTTCCCACCTGTGGGAAGGGGAAAGACAGCCTGGCAGGGGGGTGGGTACCCCACAGTCTTAAGGCCACACAAGAGAGTCTGGCACAGGGTCAGCAGACCATCATGACACAGACCTATTTGGTAAACTCTGCCACCTCCCTATATCCTCCCTAAAATAGTGCCCACCATCCTCCCCTGTGCCAATGGGCATGGAAGCACCGGGAACCTGCTGGGGGTTGGAGGGGTGTGCTAGCCCCCATTCTCCAGGAAGCAGACACCAGGATGGGAATAAATGCACAAGGATCTCATGAGGAGACATGTCTGTGTGAAACGACATAGGGAGGCAGCCAAGAAAGGCTGGGAAGACCACAGGCTGCAGGGCAAGTGTGACCCTGAGTGATGGAGAGAGGGAGAGAGGTTGTCCGCAGACTGCTCTACAGGCTGAAAAAGCTTCTGCAGAGCCACTAGGAAATCTTTGTGACAAAGGCCACCAACAAAGAAATCTAAGAAATCTCATGTCTCCCAGGAATGGTTCTGCCTGAGTATCCCAGCCATGCACACATTGGTAGGGAGTGGCCCATGGAGGGTTTGGCCTTAGCCAAAGAGGGTAGTGGGTTTCAAAGCCAGGCTGCTGTGGGTCAGTTACACTCCCTGTAGCAGGAGATCTGCAAAGCTTATTATTCTCATAGCTACCACAAGGGGTTACAGGAGGAAGTTGGGGTTCATATTCTAAAAAGAGCACAAACGTTGGGATTTAAAAAATACTAGGTTGCAAGCCAGCTCACCGCTGACTACCTGTGGCTATTGTCAAGAAACTTAACCCCTCTGATTCTCAGTTTTCTCATCTGTAAAATGCCTGAGAAACTTTATCAGGATGGAAGTGGACTACCGATAGGAGGGGCTCCCTGAATGGTGGCCTTTATCCCCCTCCCATGTTTCCAGAGCCCAAAGGGCCTAGAGGTTACCCCAAATGTGCTTCAGAAGGAAAGACCCCCAAGCCCACAGCAGACATGATTTCCCGGGATGGCAGACGGCCCTTCCCTCCCAACCCCGCACCAGGCGGGGCCAGAATCGGACACAGTGGGCTACAAAGGCCAAGCTGGCTTTTACATCAGTCCAAGACAGGCCCTGCTAAACACCGCCCCCAGGGCCAAAGGGAAATATTTAGGAGAGGTTGTGGCCGGAGCTGGGGTGGCCTCTTGTTACCTCTGCCTTGCCTGGGCACCAGCCTGTTTGAAAACTCATCACCCAGGAGAGGATTGTGGGCTGAGGCCCAGGCCCAGGGAAGGAAGTCGGCCTGTAACTCCAGACGGCTGGGCAGGCGTCCACCCGCCCAGGCTCCCGCTGCTCTACAGCTCCTGAACCTCTCTGCTCCAGCCCCCATTCTCCAGAGCGCTTCTTTCTACTCCTTCCCTCCTTCCTATCCACATGGGCCCCCCTCTCTCTGTCTCTCACTTTTTCTGGCCCAGGGTAGTGAGCCCGCACCGTGAGCACCTAGCAAGCTTTCCACCCTTACAGGTGGTCCTTGTGCTTTTCATCTCTTCCCGTTCTCTGGCTCCTGACTCTATCTCTCCGTATCTCTCCATCTCTTTTAATTGCCTTCTCTCTATGTCTCTGACTTTCCGTGTCTCCTTCCTCTCCACCTCTCCGGCTCTCCTGCTCTCGCTTGCTCCTTCACTGCATGTCTCTCCTGCACTTTCCTCCTCTTCCACCATTTGGCCACCCAGCCCGGCCCAGCCCGCCTCTCCCTGGAGCTGTGCACTCCTGCGGAATGCCTTAGGGCGCTGGGAAGAGCCTAGCCCAGCAGTTCCTCAGGGACCTGGCAGGGGCTCCCTACCCCCCAGTCTCTCCTGCCCCTTCCTCTGTTCAGGGCAGAGACATTCAGAACCAGAGAGCAACCCCAGCGTCCTGCAGGGGCCACGGCTCCTCTAACACTGCAGCACCCCAACCTCCTCTCCCTCACCCTCTCCGAGTCACTGCTCCCACCAGACGTCTTTCCATATCAACACTTAGAACTGCCAGTTACAGGCCAAACTATGAAACTGGGACAAATAGGACATCATTTTTATACTAAGCAGTGGAGCATTAGCTTAATTAAATGTGGAGTATCTATTCAACAGAATTTGTAAAAACTATGATGAAGATCCTTATATACTGATATTAAATACAAATGCAATGAAGCAAAAAAGCAGGCCGAAAACAGCACGTAGAACATAAACCCGTCTTATAAAAGAAAATAAGCACGCACATATAGGCATAACTTCCAGAATGTTAACCTATTTGTCTCTGAGTGGTGGGAGTATAAGTCACTTGTTTTATATTATAATGAACAAATATTTCTTGGGCAATAAAAAATTAGAAGAATAATTTAAAAACAGACTAAGAAGTAGGCAAGATGGTAGTCGATCTTCCTCACTGCCTCTTTATTTATTTTAACCCAACAAACATTTCAGAAGCACCTCGTCAGTGCTGGGGCCTGCCTGCAGCTTAGCAGGGAGTCCAGTGGTGGGACAAGGTCCCAGAAATAACCCTCGATACTGGCCAGGGGGATCCAAGGAGACCCTAGGGTAGGCCGTCAGCTGAGTAGGGGTGAGGGCCAGCAGGACAAGGAGGTTCTTTGGCAGGAGAAGGCTGTCCAGAGGGAGGATCTCAGCCTGAGGGGTCTAGAAGCCCACTGGGGGGTGTTTCAGATCCTTGGGGCATCTGGCTCTTGAAGAGTAGAAACAGGAGCCACTGCAGAAGAGCTAAGGAGGGGGAAGGATGTTGGGGTCTTTCCCTCTGCCCTTGGCGAGTCTCTCTGGAGAAAGAAGAGCATGGGGCTGGGCTCTGCGGGTGTCCCAGCCCCCCTCCTCCTGCCCTCGGGAGCTCAAAGCAGCCCAGTGACAGCAGCTGTGGACTGGAATAAAGCATCAACCTGAGGTGGCCTTTGCAGATAAGGACCTCCTGTCACCAACCCCCTCCCCCCCCACCACAATGGAACCCCGTCGCTGGGGACTACCATGGCCGGTGTGTCCTCAGGGGCTGGGACAGGGGCCAAAGACCACAGCAGCCAGTGTCACGGGTCTGTTCTCCTCTCTCTGTGCAAGTGGGAAGGGCATCCTCTCAGGCCCTGCGGTTCTATTTTTGTTTATTTGTTTTATTTCCTCTGCTCTCTCTGCTTCTGCGAAGCCCAGGGCTGCCAGAGGTGCGGCGTGAAGGGAGACAGGCAGTTCCCACCACGGGCTGGCTGAGCTGAGAGGGTGGGTTTGGGGGGAAGACGCCTGCCCCCTCAGCCCCACCAATAGAGGGCGCCCGAGCACGGAGCTGCGGCAGCCCGGAGACGGCGTGGACGCGCCTCTGCGCTCTCCTTCAGTCGCCCTGCTCCTCAGCCCACAGCCTGGCCACGCCGGGGTCAGCCTGGAGTAATCCGGGAGGGGTGGGCTGGGAAGAGGCCTCAGGTGTGGGGACCCGCCTTCCTCAACCAGTGTTGTTTGTTACACCTGACCACCCGCTGCCAGGTGACACTGCTACACCGCTAACCCGGAGGATGTAGGGCGCCGCTGCTGAAGAGCACTGCAGAGTCAGTCCTGTAGTGGAAGGAGCCGGGGACCGGGAGTCAGGAGCACCGGCTGCGCCTCCGCTCCTCTGCGTGCGACCTTTCCCTCGCCGCTGGCCTTGTCTCCTCATCTGTAAACAAAGGCAGGGACGGGCGCGCGGGGCAGAACTCGGTGGTACCCAAGCGCCCTGCAGGCCCGGACCAAAGACACGTCCCACCCTCCTTTTACCCCAAAGTGGGCAAAAGATAAGGGCTGGAAGGACGCACCAAAGGACAGAGCCGCTGTTTGCTCCGGCGGCACAGTGTGGCTGAGTTAGCTGGGAGTTGGGGAGGGGGGTCCCTGCAGGCGGCAATGAGTGCGCACCCACACTCCCGCCCAGCCCAGGCGGGCTCCTGGCCCTCTCTCGGGTCCCACCGCCCAAACAACCCCGCCCAAGTCGCTCAGTGCTGGCTCCCCACCCGCCCCACCCGCCGCCAGCAATGGGCGCCGAGCGAGTGGTGTCTTCTGCGGCGGGTGTGGGGAGGGGACCCTAACCCCGGCCTCCCTGAAAGGTCAGCTGCGCCAAGGAGGGCGCTGTCCAACCTCACAGCGCCGACTTTGCCCCGCCAGCGGCTTCACTGCATCCCGGACGCGGGCGATGGGGGATGGGGGGTGGGGCAGGAGCGCTCTGGGCCGGGTGTGGATCCATTGGAGAGGCAGGTGATGGACCTGGGGCGCGACCTCGTTCTGGTGACTGAAGGTAGTGGAGGCACTTCCACCTGGGGCTCCCTGGCTCCCCGTCCCCGCCACCACCTCCCTCGCCTCCCCCAGCCTTGGGAACCTGGGCCCCAAAGGTTCAAGAATTCAAGAGCCTGGAGAAATGCACTGTGCAAATATATTGACTTTATTTGTCTCCGTTCGGGAGCCTCCCAGACATATCCAGGTAAAAAGATCGTTAAATAAACGCCTTCAGCCATCGCAATGCAAAAATAAATATCAATCCTCCGGCCGCAGCAGCAGCTGCGCTGCGCCCAAGTCCCATCGGCCGCGCCTAACAATTATAAAAGTGTTCAGCGAGAGTGTGTTGGCGTGAGTGTGGACGGGTGTGCGCTGGGGCCGCGGTGCAGCGGTGTGCAAAATCGGAGTTGCAAACCATTAGACAAGGGCTTGGAGCGGCGACCCCGGCCACCGGGACCCGCCTCAGCGCGGGCGCGCCTCCCCGCACACACTCACAGAAGAGTTCGTACTGGGAAGAGTTAAAAAATAAACATTTACAAGGGCAAAGAAAGCGGCCCCCCTCCCTGGCGCCCCGCGCTCTCCGGGCCAGGGCGAGCGCAGCGGACGACGCACGGACCAGCTCGCGGTCGGGCGGTAGTCCAAGCGCGCGAGGGGCGGCGGTCCCCGGTCCTCAGGGGTCCCCCGAGGCGGGGCGCCAGCCCTCTCGGGGTTCGCCCCCTGGTGCCCTGGCGGGCCGCGGAGGCGCGCGCGCGTCCCCCTTCCGGGCGGCGCCCCTCACAGGGCCGAGTCGGAGTCGCTGGAGTCCAGGCTGTTCCTCAGTTTGCAGCTGCTGAGCTGCTCCCTCTGCAGCGACAGGCTCTGCGTGCTGCGGCGCAGGCACTCCAGGCTCTGCAGGAACGACTTCTTGGCCTTCTCCTCCTCCATGGGGGACACCCCCTCCTCCTCCACCTCCTGGATCTCGTCGAAGGTCACCGGCTGCGTCTTGAAGCGGGACTGGCGCGGCCGCCTCAGCCGGCCCTTGCCCTTGGACAGCTTGGCGGGCCGCACGGGCTGCGGGAACTCGTCGGCCAGGCACACGAAGTGCGGCATCACCGCCTGGTAGCTGGAGCAGATGCCCATCAGCTCGCCGGGCTTGGCGGCTGCCATGGCGCCGCCGGCGTCTGCGGGGCCGGGCGGCGGGGCTCCGGGACTCTCCGCGGGCGGCCGCTGCGCCGGGGCCCCCCGGGAGGCAGCAGCCTGGGGCTCGCCGGGCGGGGGATCCAAATCTGCTGCGGGGTGGCGGCGGCCCTCGCGGGCCCGGGCCGGCGCTCCTCGGGAGGGCGGGCGAGCGGGCCCGTCGGGGGGCGCGGGGCTCCGGGGACGCTGCTCCGCCGCGCTCCGAAGCGCTCGCCGCCGCTGCTGTCGCCGTCTGCCCCGCGGCTTCGCGGCTCGCGGCTTATATAGCCCGCTCCTGCCCACCCGGCTGCGAGCTCGGATGACAGCGAATGCCATTTAAAGCGTGCGCGCCCCGCGCCCTTCCGCCTGACGTCGCCCCGCCACTCTGGGAAAGTAACGGCCCCTTCCCCGGAGCCGCCCGCCCCTGCCAACCCGGCTCCGGAAGGCGGGCCCCGCCCGCGGGGGTTCCGGGAGGATCCGAGGCCCCAAGAGCACGCGGCGCCTCCGAGCTGCGCCCGGGCCAGGGGTCCTCGGATCGGCAGGACTAGGCGGGCGCTGTCCACGCTGGGATCACCCCACTCCCCACGTCCACGTCTGTAGCAACCCAGGTGTCCGCTGGGACGCAGGTCCCCCGCCCCCCAGCCCCAGATGCGCACACTCAAGGCGCTGGTTATTCTGCCGCGGAATTTTGCTGCTCTCCTTGTAGCCAGGAGAGCCAAGGCGCCAGGCTCCCCAGAACCGAGCTCAGAGGAAGGGGCGGGCTTCTCCTCTGGATCCTCGCCACCCCCCACCCAGACACACACACACACACACACACACACACACGTGCGCACGAATACAAACACACCCCGATTATTCCATTCCGGTTCTTCCCTTGCCTGGATGTCTTCTCTGTCTCCTCACTCCTCTCCCCACCCAAGTCACCCCCATTCATGCCCTGAAGAAAGACACTTAGATAAGGCACTGACAACAACAACAACAATAATAGCTACCATCTGGAGAGCTTACTCCAAGCCAGCCAGTGAGCTCTGTTTTACATATATCATCCTATTTAATCTTCCTAACAGCCCTGTGAGGTAATTGGCATTCTCTCAGTTTTACATATGAGAAAACGGAGGCACAGAGGGGATAAGTAGCTACTCCCCTAGTCACTGATGGAGCCAGCGGGGCGGACTCTAAAGTCCGTGATCTGACAGCCCCCTGCTAAGGGCTGAGACCCCTGAGCAACATCCTACCAGTGCGCCGAGGGTCTTTAAGTGCAGGTCCAGAGGACGGCCCCTGCCCGGTGCCCTCGGACTCCCAAGAGCAAAGTGGGCCTGAGATGCCCAGCGCACAGAGAGAGGTGCCCTCCCTGGGCACCCAGCAAGGCGCACCGCACCACTGGCAAAGGAGGGACTCGGTGGGATTTGGCCTCCGCGCCTTCCATATCCACTCAACAAAGACTTACTGAGAACCCACTGTATACCGGCTCAGCATGGAAGTGAACAAGAAAGATAAAGTCCCTGCCCTCACGACAGTTACATTCAACGGTGGGGGTGGGGGACGGGAGACAGGCAATAAACGTATCAACAAGAACATGTGCAGGGGTGGAAATAAAATAGGGTGGTGTGATACGGGTGCAGATGGAGAGAGTCACAGAGCAGGTGGCCAGCAAAGGCTTCCCAGAGTGGGGAATATTTAAGCTGACACCTGAAGGACAATAATAACACTGCTAAGTGCTTAATATGTGCGATGCTCTGAGTACTTTTATGCATTAACTCATTTAACGTGTTAGCTATTTTATTTAATCCTCTCAACAACCCTGGGTAACAAGTGCCATACATTTATCATTGCCACTTACAGACAGGAAAACCAAGGCACAGAGAAGCTAAGCAGCTTGTCCCAAGGTCCCACAGCCAGTAAGTGCCAGAGCTGAGCTTCAAACCTAGGCAGCGCGGAGCCCACACTCTTGCCCACTGCGCTGAAGTGGTTGCCCCATGGTGGACAAAGGAGGAACCAGCCATGTGGCCAAGTGCGAAGAGAGTGTTGGGCACAGGGAACCCTAGTGCAAAGGCGCTAAAGCAAGAACAAGGTTGGATTATTCGAGGAGCAGCAAGGAGGCCTGTGTGGCTAAGGAAGAGTGCGTGAGGGGGATGGGAAGGTCACTTACGGCCTTGGCTGCTGTGTTACAAAGATGGAATTTCATTCCAAGGGCGAATAGTAAGGGTTTTCAGCACAGGGAGCTACATGCTCCAATTTGTGTTTTTCAAAACTCACTGTGGCTGTCTTATGGAGAGGAGCCAGGGAAGAAGCAGGGAGCCCACTTGGAAGATTGTTATGAGACCCCAGAGACAAGACGGTGGAGGCTTGGGGTAGGGCGGAGGCAATGGAGATGTAGGAAATGTCAGATTTGGGATTTGTCTGAATATAGAAGTGAGAGAACTTGCCGACAGATTAGATGGGGCGTGGGGCAGGGGAGGAGGAGGAATCAAGGTTGGCTTCTGTGTATTTGGCCTGAGCAAGTGCTCTATGGTGGTGCCACTGATAGACGGGAATGCCTTGGGGAAAAGAAGAGTGGCCACCCAGCGAAACCCACTGCCCACCTGGGTGAGGCCTGGAATGCTCCTGTCAAAACTATATTACATGAGAGAAAAATCAACTTCTATAATTTTAAGACTACTGTATTTGGAATTCCTTTTTTTTTTTTTTTTTTTTTAGACAAGGTATTGCTCTGTTGCCCAGGCTAAAGTGTGGTGGCATTGCCCTCAATGCCTGGGCTCGAATGATCCTCCTGCTTCAGCCTCCCAAGTAGCTGGGACTACAGGGACCCATGCCCAGCTACTTTTTCTATTTTTTTGTAGAGATGGTGTCTTGCTGTTGCTCAGGCTGGTCTTGAACTCCTAGCTTCAAGCAATCCTCCCACCTCGGCCTCCCAAAGTGCTAGGATTACAGGTGTGAGCCACCATGCCAGGCCTGGAGTTCCTTTTAACAGGAGTTTAGCAATACCCTAACTAATACAGAAATTAGTACCAGAAGTGGAAACTGCCGTGTATAAAACCCCCAAAACAGGTGCCATTGGCTTAGCCGACAGGTGGTCAGCAATATAGAAACAGATATTGGAGAATGGGAATCTGGTGACCCTTGCTATGCTGGGACAAAACATTTATTGCAAACATCACCTGTGATAATTTGGAAGACAGCCCACATGCCTATTGAGCCTATAATTCTAGAAAAGTGGTTGAAAAGAGAAAACATTTGCATGTGTTGGCTGCTTGATGCTGCTTTCGGCAAAATATTACAAGAAAGAGATTGGCTAGTCTGCAAGAAAAGATGGACAGAAACAAAAAGAATCCAGAAAACCGGTGTCCTCTGGGTTGAAAAAGCCAACTGGTTTTTTTCAAAGGGCAGGAGATCACACTGACATGGCCCAGAGCCTCTCTCAAAGCTTGTCTATTAGGCCAAACATTAAGCCAAATGAAATTATCCCTGTGGCAAAGTATTATGTTAAGGGTATTGCCTTGTTATCCAAGTCTGTTATTTCAATGTCCTTAGGGTAACCCTCATTTCTAATGAGTGAGAAAGAAATAGGTTTGGCAAGGAAGACAGATTTAATAACTGTCAAGAAAGGAACTACCTGTGTGGTTTCTGGCACATGGAACTAACCAGAACCATCTAGAACTGAAGTCTACTAAGTTTCTGAAGCAATTGCTATCGCCAACAAAATTGCCAGGGGACTGCAAAAGCTCATGATTGTTCAAGCCCATGGTTGTGGGTAATGATAGACAAGGAAGAATTCTCAAAGGGCAAAGCCAGGACCAGGGAGACACAGGGTAAGGGGGTCACCCCCAGAGAACTTTCCCCTGCTGCCAGGGCAGGGGAGTCCTCGGTGTTCTAGAGGGTGGCTGCAGCAGAGACAGCCAGCTGCCCACCCAGCTGGGTCACATTTCTCAACTTCCCTTGAAGCTTGGTGGGCCAGACGCGTGAACTCTCATCTGTGGAACACAAGCAGAGTGGTATTCTGCCTCTCTTGGTTAAGGAGACATTCCTGCCCTAGACGTCTGTGTGCTTCCCCTCACACTGGCTGGAAGAGCGATACCCAGAGAGACCTCGGGAGCATCGTGCTAAAGACAGTGGCACCGTCATTAGTCTGGGTCCCTAAATGACCACATGGAGCAGAGCTATCTGCCAACCTGAAACGCTTCCCTTGGGACTATTACGACACAGGAATCACTTGACTATTTTAAAATTACTCTGATTTGGGGTTTCTTTATTATATCGACTTAGCTTTGTGCTAAGAGACCATCAGACATCCAAGTGGAGACGTTAAGCAGACCCCTGTCACTCAGGAGAGAGGGGAGGGGTGCAGGAGGAAGTTTTGGAGTCATCAGGGGATATATGGGGGTTCACAGTGGGGGGCAGAGGAGGGCTGGGATAAGCCAGCTCTGGAAGGAGGGTGAGCCAGTCAAGGGCTCAGGGAAGTAGCGTCCAACAGGATGGGGGGAAACTGGGGGAACATGTCAGAACCCAAGAGATGGATGTTTCTAGGAGGAGGGAGACCGTTAGTATGAGAGTCCAGAAATGGGTCCTAGCCTGGCTCTCCCCAAGCTTACTATGTGGCCTTGGACAAGCCACTTGTCTGTCTGCCCTGCAGAGTTCTCGGCTCAGATGTTCCCCGTTGGAGAAGCCTTCCCTGGCCACACTACTGAAGGCTGCCCCTCAGTCATTCTATCCCCTTTTTCTCTGAAGCATGTTTATCACCATCCAAAGGGTCCTCTTGTTTGTTGTTGACTCTGTAGTGTCTGCCTTGCCCACTGGGAAGTCAGCGCTGGCCACTGCCTTTCCCAGCACCCAGCACAGAGTTGGCACACAGAGGAGCTCCTGGGTCCCTGTGGCGAGACTGTCGCCATGTTCATCCTGCTTCCATGGCTCCTAGCAGACCAGCAAGGGGGGCACATTGCCTCCAACACACACAGTTTCTCTGGACCCCAATTTCCCAGGCCAGGGACTGGTGTGCCCTAAGTCATCTCTCTCCACTCCCCTGTGTGGGAGGCTCCCCAACCCTGGCCCAGGACAGTGAAAATAGGAAAAGAGATGTGTACTCCACAGCAAGCGTCCCAAATTAGCAATAAGATCACCCCCTCCTTGGGCTTGGGCCCTGCTCACAGGGGGCCTCTAAAAAGAGAGGGGAAGGGAGGAGGGAGAGACCCAAGCTCCCATGCCACCTAGATCCTGGTCCTGCTGCCAACCTTCTCCATCTGTGACCATGGCCCCCCAACCTTAGGGGGGCCGTAGGGCCAGCCCCCACCCTGGGTGGCCTTTTTGTGCTTTCTGTGCCCTTCCCTATTCGCAAGAGCCAGCTAAGGGCCACTGTCAGGTTAAGAAAACACAGACCTAGATTCTAAC